ACACACACACACACAAACACAAAAAAAAAAAAAAAAAAAAAGAAAGTTTTATGTCTGTTTGTTTTCCTCTTGCTGTCTGTTCTTCCTCTAATTTCTTCTAGGTGTTTCTACTTACCCAACTAAGCACCCTTAAGTAGTGCCAAACAATCGGTGGTTCCTCGTTTGGAGTCCCTACTGCAATCTTATGGGGGGCTCTCAATTCCGGATGTCTGTGTTGCCTGTGTGTGATGACGGATGCTCGTCAGGGTGACTCCCTTGCTCAGTAGGTGGTGGGAACCAACAGTCTGCGAGGTTCAATCCTGAGGTGAGTAGGTCATGCGCTGCTTTGCTCTGTGTTGGATGTGTGGACTGCCTTGTCTGCGCTCCACCGCCGCCTTGCTGCCTGTCCCGCTTGTTTCGCATGTGGTTCCCTGCAAGTTGTTGTGTTCGCTGTTTGGTGTGACCGTGTTGTCGGTTTTGCCTTGCGCTTCGTTGCTCCGCTGCCTTGCTGCCCATCCACTGACCGTGCCTTCCGTGTTTGCCGCTTGTGTGCCTCGTAGCTTGGTTGCCTTGTTGGTGGCGCCTTGTGCTCCTCTCCACGGTTGCCGAGATGCTGGTCCGTTCGCCCTGTCGTCCCTTGGAGTGTGGTTGCCTTGCTTGTGTTGTCTTGTGCTTCACTACACGGTTGGCTTGCTGGATGTCCTGCGTGCAATGTCGTTCCTTGTAGTCGTTTTTGGCGTTGTGCAGCCGTGTTACCTCTATTATGTTGCCTGGTGCTCCACAGGGTTGCTGCCCGCTTCTATGTTCCGTTTGGGGACAGTCTGCCTTCACAATGGGTCAGAGCCTCAGAGGGTTCATGACCCAAACCATCAAATACGCAGATCCTGCAGATTGTCGAGGGTTTAGCCTCCTGATGAGTAGGCGTAACTCCAACGAAACAATCTTTCATCATCAGTCTTTGCATTTTTAGACTTTTACTGTTTTCTTGATGGTTTGTGTGTTTGTGTGTTGTTGTGCCCTATTGCTTCCTCGTTTGTTGGTGCTCTTCTGGTTTCTCTGCCCTGTCCATCCAGTTGTTGCCTATTGCTGGTTGTCTGCCCACCCACCTCCCCTGTGACTCTCCAGCCTTTGTTCTTTGTTGTTGCTGTTGTTAGTTTGTCCTCTCGCCTCACCCTTCCTCTCTCAACCATTAGTCTGAGTGTCTGCCTTGATGTGTCATTGAAGTCTAAAGTCCGTTTGTACGTTGGCATGCCAGTCCCAGTCTTGGACTAATGATTGGCGGCATATAGCCTTGCGATGTGCTGTTTTGGAGAAGGTCAATGACATTTGGTGTGAAGCTTTTTTGTTGGGGTCTTGTACTCTTACCACACACACACACACACACACTCATGCACGTGGGGCAAATGCCCATTTTTTTTGGCTAACAATTTTTTTTTTTTTCTATTTTTTTTTTGCT